CTGACCCCACTGACCCCTGGCCGCACTGACCCCCCGTGGCCGCAGGCGGGAGATTTTCGTGCCCAGCAGCGGGGCCCGGCCGGGCGCTCGGCGGATCCTGATCGTGGTGACCGACGGGGAGAAGTACGGGGACAGCCTCGAGTACCCGGCCGTGATCGCCGAGGCCGAGCGCGGGGCGGTCACTCGCTACGCCATCGGGGTCAGCGCTGTCCGTGTGTCCATCCCTCTGTCCGTGTGTCCATCCGTGTGTCCATCTGTCCGTGTGTCCATCTGTCCATCTGTGTGTCCATCCCTGTGTCCGTGTGTCCATCCCTGAGGCCGAGCGCGGGGAGGTCACTCGCTACGCCATCGGGGTCAGCGCTGTCCGTGTGTCCATCCGTGTGTCCATCTGTCCGTGTGTCCATCCCTGTGTCCATCCCTGTGTCCATCCCTGAGGCCGAGCGCAGGGCGGTCACTCGCTACGCCATCGGGGTCAGCCTGGTCACCTGTCCGTGTGTCCATCTGTCCGTGTGTCCATCTGTCCGTGTGTCCATCTGTCCGTGTGTCCATCCGTGTGTCCGTGTGTCCATCCCTGTGTCCGTGTGTCCATCCCACTGTCCGTGTGTCCATCCCTGTGTCCATCCCACTGTCCGTGTGTCCATCCCTGTGTCCATCCCCGGGGCCGAGCGCAGGGCGGTCACTCGCTACGCCATCGGGGTCAGCCTGGTCACCTGTCCGTGTGTCCATCTGTCCATCCCTGTGTCCATGTGTCCATCCCTGTGTCTGTGTGTCCATCCCTGTGTCCATCCCTCTGTCCGTGTGTCCATCCCTCTGTCCGTGTGTCCGTCCCTGTGTCCATCCCTGTGTCCGTGTGTCCATCCCTGTGTCCATCCCTCTGTCCATGTGTCCATCCCTCTGTCCGTGTGTCCATCCCTGTGTCCATCCCTGTGTCCATCTGTCCATCTGTGTGTCCATCCGTGTGTCCGTGTGTCCATCCCTCTGTCCGTGTGTCCATCCCTCTGTCCGTGCGTCCATCTGTGTGTCCATCATCTGTCCATCCCTGTGTCCGTGTGTCCATCTGTGTGTCCGTGTGTCCAGCCATCCCTCACCTGTCCCTGTCTCACCTTTCCATATTTCACCTGTCCGTGTCTCACCTGTCCCTGTCTCACCTGTCCATGTCTCACCTGTCCGTGTCTCACGTGTCCGTGTCTCACCTGTCCGTGTCTCACCTGTCCGGGTCTCACCTGTCCATATCTCACCTTTCCATATCTCACGTGTCCGTGTCTCACCTGTCCGTGTCTCACCTGTCCGTGTCTCACCTGTCCATATCTCACCTGTCCGTGTCTCACCTGTCCGTGTCTCACCTGTCCCAGGTGGGCAGCGCGTTCAGCACACCTGCGGCTCAGCAGGAGCTCCGGGTGATCGCCTCCAGCCCCGCCCACGATCACGTGTTCCGCGTCGACAACTTCGCCGCGCTCGGGGACATCCAGAGCCAGCTCCAGGAGAAGATCTTCGCCATCGAGGGTACCTGGGCACACCTGGGCACACCTGGGCACACCTGGGCACACCTGGATACACCTGGGATACACCTGGGCACACCTGGATACACCTGGGATACACCTGGGCACACCTGGATACACCTGGGATATACCTGAGCACACCTGG